CCACCATTGGCAACCACACAGTCCATATTCTTTTTGCCATACTGCAGAGGCTTCTGAACAGTGTGCCATGTCTTTGAGATACAGTTTTATTTGTTGAAAGAACTTTGACATTTACTTAGTATTAGGCCTTCAGATAGAATGTTGACTGATTTTTATTGACCTCACTAATATTTTTTTTATTAAATATTTTTTCTAATTACAGAATCATACATATGAATTTTGGAAAATCCAGGCAAGCACAAATAAAAAAATAACATTTATAATCCCACTATTCTAAGATAACTACTGTTAACCATTTAATGTATTTCCTTCATATAATTTCTTTGCAAGTACAGTTTTATGTTTTTGCTATAATACTACACACACAAGTTTATGTTGTGTTTCATTTAACTTAGCATTATATCATAGGCATTCTTACATTATTGAAATTATTTAACACATATCATGTAAACATTTCTCTATTACTGGATATTTAGGTGTCTTCCAGTCTTATTTATTTTTTGTATGTTACTCTAAAGAACCACGGTAAACATCTAATGCCTAAATAATCATCTGCATTTTAAGACACATTCTTAGGATAGATTTTAAAAGTAGACTTACAGGTTCCAAAGGCATGGACACTTGAGGAGGGTTGGCACTTACTGCTGAGTCACCTTTCAGGAGGGCTGGAGTTCTAGAGAGGACCATTGCTCTTCAGAGGTGAGAGAGACGTAGGCTTGCCCAGCATTTGCAGGTAGGGAGCCCCAGAATGGGGCCTAGGCAGGACTGCAGGAATGACGAAACGATGCTCCCCAAGACTTGGGTGAGGGGTGAAAGCCAGGGCATAAGAAGATGTTATGTTTCCTGACACAGGAAGAGACACATTGGGTTGGGCTGTGGGTGTGACCAAGTCTGTGCACAGGGGTGTGCAGGTGTGGGAGGAGCTGAGGAAACCCCCAGAATGGCTTTTATCCCCTTGGAGTCAGGAAGGGAGGGTGGAGCTGGGGACTCTGAGGGGCATGGTGGTGACTTGGAACAACCCATGCAGGGGACAGAGGGGAAAATGCTGGGAAATCCTTTGCATTAAGAGGTACATGGGACGTTTCCAAGTCCCACTGGAGATTCAGCAGGACTCAGCCATCATCCATGTATGGTAGCACCAATCTGCAAAGCCCGCTGTGATTTTTCTCAGGTGTGCCTGGTGCCTCCATATAGCAGTAAATATGAGGGTTGATGGGCGGATCCGGGTTGGGAATTTGTAGAGTGGCTGCAGAGGTTGGAAAAGGGAATGAGGAGGTGAGGATCACGGCTACAGTGTTGTTTAAGTGATGTGTCGTGTGATGCGGGCCACCAGAGGAGGGACCTGTTAGGTTGATGGAATTAGTGCAAAGGCGCATATTCTGTGTCCTTGTATTTGCAGCTCAGATCCTGAAAGACAAGCTAGTCTTGAAGAGGTGGTGTTCATGGTGTGGCAGTGTTGGGGACTGGGAAAGGTTCCTGGATGCCTCTCTTTTTGGAAGCTGCTGGTGGGTCAATTTTGTGGGTCCAGGTCAAGAGCAGGGAGATTTGCGAACATTAGGAACCAAGGCTGCTAGTGGAAGTGGAAGCTTTGACTGGTCACCTTCAACTAGAAGGACGATGCCAACACTGGCTTAGAGCAACAGACCAGACACGCTGCTAATATTCTGCTTTGTGCTTCCCTCAAAGGCCTATGCCTCCCTGGACATGCTTCAGAAACATATAATAAGAAAACACCCAGAGCAGTTTGTGTTTTGAGTAAAAGTGAGAATTTGGGGCTGTGTCAGTTAGGTCGAGGATTGCTCTAGTGGACACTCTGAGGACAAGGAATGCTTGATTCCCCTGACACCTGTGGATTTGGGGGATCATCTGCCACCAAACAAGACCCCTCAGAATGGCAGCTGACAGAAGTGGCTGCTCCTGGGGTGGGGATGGGAAGTCTTGGTGGAGCCAGAAGCCCCCCTGAGGCCAAGCATTTGGGACAAGTGTAAGAAGTCGACCATGCTCAACACAGTTCGTCAGATTTTCTGGTTATTGCTGGCGTTGGCATTTCCCAGGATAATGTTGCATCTCTCTATTGTTCCTTTCTTCCCAGCAATATTATTGAAAGGGAATGTTGGGGTGTTGTTTTCTGAAGTCAGGTGAAGTTTTTTAATGACATCAACTTGAATTTAAGTTGGCTCTTGGCAAATATTGAAAAAACCTTTCGACTGCCTGTTCTCCCTCTCAAGCTAATGCTAATCGAACACAGTATTTGATTAACCTCTTGAAGAGTATTATTCAAATGTTCTTTGGATGACTAAACTGATAAATTGGATGAAACTAATTGCTGGAGGTGATGAACTCTTGCGAATCATTGCAATTCATTCTGCCTGTTCGCTCAAGCTACACCAGTAAATCTGGAGAGGTGACAGCCCAGTTCTCAAGCAGAGCAGAACTTGACAGGGGGAAATCTTTGAACACTGTCTTATGTATTGCAATAATTGGATAAGCTTGAATCTATTTGTTGCTTTTTTTGAATTTGGAATTTTTATATTTTATATGGGCTTTATGGATGTGCGTGTTATGTTCCTCATCATCCTTTCTCCTTGAATTCGTTGTTAGAATGAAAAGCTGCGCTTTGTTCATTGTTCTGCATTGTTGATCTGTGGTGTTAAGAAAGCAGGCACCTGATCCTGAGATAAGTTTCCAACACAGACCGAGAAAGGAATCCACACTTAAACTCAGCAATAGTTCCAGCCTCTCAATAGAATTCTGAGCAGTGGTCTCGGTGCCCTGAATTAAAAGTAACATTTAGCTTATGGAGAAATCCCAGAGGACTTTCAATAATGATGATTATGAGATCTGAAAATAGAACCAATAAAAAGAAGACATAAAACCAGGGTTCTTGATTCTGGAAGGAAAAGGCAAAGGAAAGACTTAAAGGCTGTCTTTAAATATGTGGAGTTACTTATTATTCCAAGGATAGTGTACACATTCTCTTTTTATATACTCATGGATAAAATCAGGGAGAACTGGTTTAAATTGTAGCAGAAGAGATTTAGGTTAGATGGGAAGAAAAAAAATTTCTGACAGGACATACAAAGTGAATACCAAGCAAATGTGTGGATTTCATTTCTCTAGTAAAAATCTGACCATTCACTAGACGTTGCATTGAATAACCTCACCCATTGGTCATGATGCAAAGCTAAGCCTTGTTCTCAAGATCCTGACGTGTTAGGATTCTATAACCATTCAATTTTGTACTTCAGAATGTCAATCACTTTTACAATGATCTCTTCTTGGAAGCAAAAATGTCCTTCTCAGCATGCTTTTAGAAAATAGTAACTGTGCTCCATTGTTGTATTATTTACACCTGTGCTGATAGTGAAATGGGTATTGAAGAAAATACTGTGTTAAAATTCCAGGCCTGGTGTGGTGGCTCACACCTGTAATCTTGGCATTTTGAAATGTCAAGGTGGGAGGATCACTTGAGGTCAGGAGTTTGAGACCAGCCTGGACAACGTATGGAGACCCCGTCTCTACAAAAAAATTAAAAGAAAAATTATCCAGGTTTGGTGGATTGTACTTGTAGTCCCAGCTACTGGGGAGGCTGAGGCAGGAGGGTATCTTGAGCCCAGGAGCTGGAGGTTGCAGTGAGCTATGATCAGGCTTCTACCTTCTGGCCTGAGTGACAGAGCAAGACCCTGTCTCAGATAAATAAAAAAATAAAATAATAAAATAAAATTCCAGACTGAGGGTGATATTTCTGATTATCAGGGATTTTTGACTTGTTTTCTCATTACCTGTGAAGCTTTGATACTCAGATCCTTGTTATAATAGATGTTTCCTTTCTAAGACAGAAGATGAGCTATTAAGAACACCTCCAATTCTGTAGGCCGGGGTTAGAGGAAGCTCTGAGTAAGGAGTCTGCTTTCATATGACCCTCAGATATCGCCACCTAGTGAGCAGTCGTGGCATGTACCCCGTCATTTAGAGCCAAACCTCCTCAATGAAGAACTGAGTATTTCATCTGTAAGAAGTTTTCAAAAGATTTTTAATTAATTTTGTCTCCAATATATATCATTTTCTCCATGACATAATTAACTGAAACAATGCATTTTATTTTTTAAAAACAAAACAGAAACACAACAGAATAAATTATGATTCTAAACCTGATCTAATACTGTAGCTTGAGGAAACTTAAACTCTCATAAAATAAAGATCAGGCCATCTGACAATTTCTGAAAATCAAATCTACCATACCTCCCAGGTTATGAAGTAAATTTCTAGATGTTACAATGTCTTCCAATCATTTAGATTTTTAAAAATCCAGTAAAATATGAATCTTCATTTCAAATACACATTTTGAAACTTATTTGAAAATAAAATCAGGCTGCTTCCCAGTGCAGCCAACACACCCTCTAAATTGTTAAAAATCCATTGTGGTGCCAAAGACAATTATAACCGGAAATGGCTGATTCTAAACCTCCCAGCCACGTAACTCACAACGTGGAGAAGAGAGCTTACGTTTAAGACTTAGGATATAGTTCCCTTCTTGCTTTCTCACTCTTTCTTCCATTTTCTCTTTCTCTTCTTTATTTCTGTATTGTCAATATGTTTCTATAGTTGTCATATGGGGTGTAATTTTTAAAGTAAACCCTGCCATTGTTCTTAACATTTTTTTTTCTTGGCTTATGAAGGAAGAATTTAATGTTTTCTCAAAAAGTACTATTGCTCCTTTGACATATTTTGATCTCTATAATGGATTTATAACTCTTTAAAAGAATTAAAATAAAAATCTTATCTTTCTCCTATAATAGAAGTAAGCTTTGTTTGGGATATACACATTTCCTTTTTCTCTGATGGGTTAAATGTGTCAGATGATAGTTTTCATGCTGGGAAGTATTTTTTCATCTGTTCAGAATTATATTTTTTTGTAAATCCAGCCACCGAATCTCAGTGTCTATGCAGAATGATTTGGTTGACGAGTTTCTGGTTTGCCTGCCCTTTATTCGTTCTAGATACAGTTCATATTGCTGTTCAGTCGACAAGGGAAATTACGTCTGCAGAAGTGGTACACGACTCTGCCCGACAAAGAAAGGAAGAAGATCACCCGAGAAATTGTTCAGATTATTCTCTCTCGTGGTCACAGGACAAGCAGCTTTGTTGACTGGAAGGAGCTAAAACTTGTTTATAAAAGGTGTGAGTAACCTTATGAGAACTGAATTTTTCATTATTGCTTCGGTTTGTTCTAACCCCAAACATTTTAGATTGTAATACCAATGCCATCATTTACTGAAATCTTTGAAGGCTGGGGCCCAACTATTTGTACCAGTAGACTCACTAGAAAAGAACTTTCATCTCATTAAAAGGACTTCTATGTGCCAGGATGGATTCTAGGTACTCAGACTACACATTGATAGTGCATGCATGCATTCCACGAATATTTTATGAGTACCTGGTTATATTCCCGGCATTGTTCTAATGGCTAGAGATACAGCAGTAGACGAAACACATAACATTCCTGCTCTCCTGGCATGTACTTATTTGTTAAGTAAACAAAATATTTTCAGTTAGTAGCAAATGCTATGGAAAAAATGCAGGTTAGTGTGATAGAGAGATGGGAACTATGTTCAACTGGCAGCTCTTATTATCCTTATTACTCCTGTTTGTTTATGAGTAAAATGTAAACACAGAGAGTTTAGTGATCAGTCCCCAAGCACAGTAACTGAGTGGTAATTGGTAGAGCCAGGATTCAAATCCAGATCTTTCTGGCATTAAAGCCTATATATTCTTTTTACCACACCTGCCTGCCATGGCAAGACCATACTGAAAAGGAACCTCAATTTATAGACAAGAGAACTGAGGCTCAAGAAGTAACATAATTTTGCCCACGAAGACCCTGGCCAAGCCAGGACCAGAACAACACAGCTGACCTCACTCTGCATCCAACATCATACTGCAACTTCTAGAAGGAAAACACACATTAGAAATGTTCTTGCAAAGGGTGTTTATAAAACCAGATTGGAAAAACAGAAATAACCTCTGTAGCCTGATATTTAATGGAATAAATTAACCAGTAAGTTCCTGCAGAGCTCCTTTTGCTGGGTCCGAGACCAGAGTTTGACAAGCTGAGGGTGGGAGGCACACACAGAATGGCTGAGAAGTACGGCATGAAGTGAGAGGGTGGAGAGCGTGGGCCCCGGTGAGTGTTGGTGAGGGGCCTTCGATTTTGCAAAGAATGATCTACAAGCTGGAGGGAGGCATGGACAGACACCAATTATCATGGGGCAAAGGATTCTGTCTCCCTGATTATAGCTCTTCAAGGTGAGGTTTTGTTGAGAGCTTTTCACATAATTAACAGAAGTAATCCAATCACCGTGATACACTCTGATTTATACTTGTGGAGGATATTGAATATGATGAATGATTTCAACCTTGGATGGGGAGAGTCTCAGAAGGGGAGGAGCTGACTTTGCATATTCATTGGGAAAAATCATCTTCAGATTGTTTAACGTATCATCATATTTTGCTTTTCTTTATTATTTTTCTTTTCAAGGTATGCTAGTTTATATTTTTGCTGTGCAGTAGAGAATCAGGACAATGAGCTCTTGACACTAGAGATTGTGCATCGTTATGTGGAGTTGCTGGACAAATACTTTGGAAATGTAAGTGTCGTGCTGGTCTCTTAGTATCAGTTACAATCTCCGTTTCAGTTTAGTTTGTCTCCCGTCACATCCCTTCTCTCTCTCAAATCTAAAACATGAATTACATTTGTACCAAGGATCACACCAGTCCACCTAGGATGAAAATACAGGCTTTTCTCCCTGCCTGTGATTCTTAGAGAGTGAAAGACCCAAAGCTTTAAAGAGGAGGGTGTGCCTTTATCTTCAGACCACAGATACACTAGCCACCTCGTTTCAGTGAACAGAATTTAATTGTGAGGGATTCCTTGGTATTCTGTCCCTTATTCCTCATTGGCTTTGTCATCTCTCTTCTATTTTGACTTTTTATACTTTCTCCAGCTTTTTATTTTAAGCTACAAATATTCTTTAATATTAAGAAAAAACACCAAAAAAAATAAAATCGAAATCCTTTCCCTCCCATTGCTATTTGACACTCTTTTTGCATTTTCTGCCAAGTAATACACTATGGCAGGTGCCCCAATCCTCAGAGGCCATTCACTCTACTGTGGCTTACAGTGTGGGTCCCATCTCCACTGCTCCAAGGAAATCACAGACTTACACTGAGCCCTCCCTACAGGTCCCAACCAGTGACACGTCTTGAGTCTTCACCTGCTTTCACCTCTCTGCGGCTCTGGATCCTTGCTCATCACATTCCTGTCTTTAAATTTGCTCCACTTTATTGTGACAGGACATTGATTTCTGCTGATTCTTGTCCTATAGTTCTGAAGGCCCTCCCTTGGTTTCATCCACTGCACTCGCTTCCTCGTCCTGCCCTCTCCGTGTCCTCCGTCTCTTCCTATTCCCTGTGTGTGTCTCCTTACTGTCTCTCCTGGAAATCCATTACTAGGTGACTCTTCACTTTGTTGGTGATGGTCTCCACTGGGCTTCTCATGGTCGAGAACCAAATGCATCTCCCGAAAACCTGTTCTGCCTTATGGTTGGAATTTATGAAGTTCCATGATCCTTCTATGCAAAAGGAAGGTGTTTCTTTCATCTTTTTCTACCCTTTGTCTCTGTCTATTCAAATTGGGGTAAAATCCATCTCCACCTTTCCACCGTTGCTAGTAGAGGTTTACTTGGGATTTCAGTTTTGCTTTTCTCCTAAACTTCACATATGGCCCTTTATGCCTCTGGGTTTTTCTTTACTCCCCATCTTGGCCTGTTAAACACCGTCTTCCTTATGAAACACAAATATAGGTATGGGATTCCTTTGCAGTCACTTTCCATCAGCAGCACTGAATAAAATTCAAACCTCCTAGCTTGACATTTAAGCTTTCAAAACATTGGTCCCAGACCACTCTTCCAACCTCATTGCTTTTCTCTCTTTATGCACCTGAGAGATTGGTGATCCAGCGACAACGAACAGCCTTGTAGCATCCTTAATTGGTACAGGATTTGCTTGGCCACCAAATTACACAACTTGAGACTCATTTGGTTTTTTTTTTCCCCCACCACCTGTAACCAGTTGTGGGCCAGATTTTAGAAAATGTTTTAAAACATTTAATCCAGTTCACAATCTCAGAAATAAATCATTCGATTTAGAACGTGTTTTCTTCTGAGCAATAACCTCTTCCCTATTCCCTTGCTCACTGAAGATTTTTAGTGTTGTTAGAATTTGTTTCCAGAAGAGTTTTCTGTATTCTCTTTAATGGAATGAGCAGTATTTGCAGTATTGGTTGGGTTTATCAGATTTGTGGTAACACTTTTCATAAGGCTGAGCGCTCAAAAGATTTCTAAAAGGATTTTTCTTCCCTCCTTTTTTTCTCTCCCTTGTAAATGATGGTACAAGACAAATCCCTGCTTCCTGGATTTCAAGTTGTTGGTCAATATATAGAAGTAATAAGACAGCTAGACCAGCTTTTATTTCTCCTTCTACTGGTTTACTAAATTTATTTTCATTTTGTTGTAAATTTCAAAATATTTTAAGGGGGTACAAATATTTTAAGTTATATGGATCATGTTTGTAATGCTTGAGTCCTGGCTAAAGGTGTGCCTGTCACCCAAATAGTGTCCATAGTAACTTTTAAATTGGCTTATTCCTTTGCCCTCCTCTCCCTTCCCCCTGGTTGATTTCCACTGAGTTTCACTTTCCTCTGTGCACATGTGTGCTCATTGCTTAGTTCCAATTTAATAGTGAGTACACGTGGTGTTTGTTTCTCCATTCTTGAGATACTTCACTTAGGACAAGGTCTCCAATCCCATCCAGATTGTTGCAAAAGGCATTAATTTATATTTTTTATAGCTCAGTAGTACTCCATGGTATACATTACATTCACCACATTTTATTAATCCGTTCATGAATTGATGGGCACTTGGGTTGATTCCAATCTTTGCAATTGTGAGTTGTGCTGTAATAAACATTCAAGTGCAGGTGTCTTTTTGATAAAAAGTCTTCTTTTCCTTTGGGTAAATACCCAGTAGTGGGATTGCTAAATCAAATAGTAGGTCTACTTTTAGTTCTTTGAGGAATCTCCAAACTGTTTTCTATAGAGGTTGTACTAATTTGCAGTCCCACCAACAGTATAGAAACGTTCTTTTGTCTCTGCATCCAGCCAGCATCTATTGTTTTTGGACTTGTTAATAAATGCCATTCTAACTGGAATAAGGTGATATCTCATTGTGATTTTAATTTGCATTTCCCTGATTAGTTACATTAAGCATTTTTTCGTATGTTTATTGGCAACTTGTCTTTCTTCTTTTGACAAACTTCTGTTAATGTCTTTTGCCCACTTTTTAAAGGGGGGTTATTTGTTTTTTCCTTGCTGATTTGCTTGAGTTCTTTGTAAATTCTGGTTATTAGCCCTTTATCAGATACGTAGCTTGCGAATATTTTCTGCCATTCTGTAGGTTGTCTGTTTGCTCTGTTGATGGTTCCTTAGCTGTGCAGAAGGTTTTTAGTTTAATAAAATCCCATTTACTAATTTTTATTGTTGCCATGATGCCGGTGGGGTCTTAGTTATAAATTCTTTGCCTTGGCCGATATCTAGACAAGTTTTTCCTACATTTTCCTCTAGAATTCTTATGGTTTCATGCCTTAGATCTAAGTCTTTTATCCATCTTGAATTAATATTTGTGAGTGGTGAGAGGCAGGGCTCCTGTTTCATTCTTCTGCATGTGGCTATCCAATTTTTCCAGCACCATTTATTGAATAGGGCTTTTTTTCCCCAGTGTACATTGTTGTCTGCTTCGTCAAAGATCAGTTGGTTGTAGGTAGGTGGTTTTATGTCTGAGTTCTCTGTTCTGTTCCATTGGTCTGTGTCTCCATTTTTGTACCAATACCATGCTGTTTTGGTTACTATGGCCTTGTAGTATAGTTCGCTTCTTTGTAGTCCCATATCTCTCTCAGTGATTGTTTAGACTTTTTAATACTCTTCTTTGCCTCTTGGAAAGACTGCCTCTTTTTTATATTCTTCTCTGCCTCTTTGAATGACTGGGTTGCCTTGAAAGCCTTGTCTTCAAGCTCTGAGATTCTTTTTTTCTCCTTAGTTTAGCCTGTTGTTAAAGTTTTCTGCTATGTTTGAAATTCCCTAAATGACTCTTTCATTTCTTTAAGTTCTATTATATCCTTTCTTATGTTGTCTAACTCTCTAGTGACTTTTTCATTTTTTTCATTGATTTCCTGAAATATGGTTTTGGCTTCTTTTTGTTGGTGGCCCAGGGTCCATGTAGGTGGGCTGGAGCTGCTGGTCTGCCAAGGTTCTCCCCCTGCATCTAGGACCCAAAGAGGCAGTCTCCCCAGGCTTCCCAAGTGGTGCTTGTAGTGTCTGAGGCTCCTTCTCTGCTCAGCTCCCATGCCAGGGAGGAGGCATGCTTGGCCCCCAGTCACAGGACAAGACACGGGGGAGCATCTGTTCCCTCCCTGGCCCGGTGGGGGTGAGGCAAAGGCTACTTCTGGAAGGGGAAGGCTGGGTCCTGAGCAGACCTGGCTCCATGTACCAGAGTGTTCAGGATGTTGTTGGTTGCAGAAACCTCAGATTGGCAGGCACTAGATCTCTGCTGCACATGCTTTCCAGTGGAATGTCTCTGCACAGATTCTGAGCAGCTCCTCCATCATCCTAGAAGTCTGCAGTAGACAGATCAAGCTCCCTGTAACTTCTGTGTCTCACCTAAAAAACAGTGTCCCCTCAGTTTACCTCTATCCTGCTATCTTCATCTCTTCCAGCGGTGTGAATTGCATTGGGATCCCCAGCTTAATCTCTGAGATGGTGGATGATACTTGTGAGTGGGGATCAGCCATGCCCTGTTGGATTGAGTTGGTAGATGCTGTGATGAGCTATAGAGTTGTTCTCCCTGTTAGTGGCTGATGCTTGCAGGAAGAGCCAACTGTAGGGATGTTCTTTTGTGCCTGTGGTAAGCTCTAGTCCCTCAGGTGGAGCACTTGAGTGCTCCAGGCTTTGGGAGGGGCCCTGTAGCTCCTAAGGGGTTACTTGTTCTCTATCACAGCAGAGGTGGCTAGAAGAGCGAGGCAGGGCGTGGTTAGGTTGTGCGAGCCTCGAAGGCTTTGCAAAGCTTCAGCAGGGCTCAGAGGTTGTTTTCCCGGCCACTAGGGGGAGCCGCTGGGAGGAGGGTCAAGGCAAGCTTTCCAGACCAGGAAGGCTGCTCGTGAAGGAGGGGCCACAATTCCCTGACAGCCAGAGCACCTGAGCTTGCTGTGCTTGGTTGCTTATGGCACTGCAGGCCATGATCTTCCCTGCCGGCAGACCTGCCTAGTCCAAAAGCATGGCTTTCCTGTGTGTGTGTGGGGGGGGAGGGGGCGGTGCGGGGGGATGGGTGCTCTCCCAGATTGCCAAGTCTTGGACCCCCACAGTATTTTTCCATCGGTTGCATCCACGTGGGCTCTCTCACGTCCTGAGTCCAGCTCCCACCTGTGTCCTCCAGCAACCTGCTTGAGTCATGGGGTTGGATCCTGACACAGGATCAGGTCAGGATCCGGTTTGTGTATCTAACCTGCTGGCGTGTGTCTCTGAGAAACGCTGGCGGGC